TTTTAGTAGAGATGGGGGTCTCGCTCTTGCTCAGGCCGGTCTCGAACTCCTGAGCTCAAACAATCCGCCCGCCTCAGCCTCCCAGAGTGCTAGAATTACAGGCGTGAGCCACCGCACCTGGCCGAAATTAGGATTTTTTGGGTTTCATTCCAAGTACGGCAGGAAGCCGCTCCAAGCTTTCCAGCAGGGACACGGCACGATCTGCTGTCTGGAAGCACTTTCTCGCTGCCCAGGGACTGCAGCGCACAGGGCAGTCCCACCAAGGAGCTGTTAAATTTTAAGGCTCACCCCTCCCCCCACCAGCTGACTAAAATGGACCCCCTCGTGACCAAAGGAATATCCTAAAACTAAATTGCCTGCCCAAAGGAAGGAGGTCAGACATGCCTTATCATGTCCCCCTCCCTTCTTGGGGACATCCTTTATAACCCATTAACAGGCCTAAGGGTATGTAAGACACACCTGCAGGTAGGTGGCTTATCTCTGATAAACAGCTCCTTATGTTGAAACATTCCAAGCCTTTAGACAAAGCTTTATGTCTTTAACCAATTACAAGCCAAAGAATCTTTAAACCCACCTATAACCTGTAAGCCCCCGCTTCGATATGGCCCACCTTTTCAGGTCAAACCAACGTATGACTCCCACGTATTGATTTATGACTTTACCTGTAACCCCTGTCTCCCTGAAATGTATAAAACCAAACTGTAACCCAGCCACACCGCGTCCTCTGCTCAAGGCCTCTTGGGTGTGGCTCCGGGTCATGGTCCTCAAATTTGGCTCAGAGTAAATCTCTTTAAAATTATTTTACAGAGTTTGGTCTTTTTTCTGTTGACACTGGGAAGCAGGGTTGGGCGGAAAATTACTCAGGAGACTTCAAGGGTGGGAGATTCCTGCTTGAGGCAGGTCAGGGTGGGGGATGGGGAATACAATCATCACCCATGATTCCAAGGTTGGGGGATTTTTGCTAAGCTGACTCAAGTTTGGTCAAGTGGGGAGGGTCTGCCCTGCCTACTTAGGATTCTGACTTTATCCAGGTGACAGCAGTGCCAGCCAACACCTTGGCAGCCCCTGCTACCTGCCAGGCACCGCAGTCATCGGCTCAGACTTGGCTCATCTAACCCTTATGGTATTCCCAAATGTCCTCTTCCCCATTTCAGGTATTGATATGGAAGCACCACAGAAATCAGACAAGTCACCCAAGGTCACACGCCAGACACTGGCTGAAGCAGGCTGTGAGTTGGGCATAAGAGCTCCAGAGTGTTTTAATCAATCCCTCCACCATCATGGTCATTTGATCTTGGGCACAGCTGTGGAGAAGGAATTGAATTAAGACTATACATCTGGAGAGAAATCAAGAGAGGTTTTTTTCCCCCC